CAAATCACAAAATTGCAAATTTTGAAATTTGAGCGCGTGGCGCAGCAATAGGAGGTCTTTAGACCGAGCCAACCATACTGCTACCATTATCATTATACTATTGGAATTACTATTGTTATTATTATTATCATCTTTATTTTTTCAAAATAAAAATAATTATAATTATATATTATCACAAATAAACTAAACACTACTTTTCTCTAAATGTGGTTTTTCTTTTATTAATTTCGTCAATTGTTTTAACAAACATTCTAAAGAAAATAAACCAAAAAAATCTTTTTAAAGGATATAAAAATAACTCAGAATAGCAATCATCACACCGATGACCAAAAAGGAATATAACGCGTACATATTTTTCTAAAGGGTTATCTGGCGGTGTACAATCAACGATCAGAACGTAACAAACAAACAAATATAAAGGATGATAATAATGCCAATGTCAGCTTTATATTTCAAAATCAAAGTATTGAAATTTGTTTTCCATTGTATATTTACATATTTGGGATATATGAATATTGGTAATCGTTTACAAAATAAAAGGTTGCTTATTTGAATGATAAAACGAGTAGGTAAAATGAATAAACGAATAATTCGAGTTTGGAAGGTTTTTCACGAACCATTTTAATATTAATAATCGATAAAGGAAGTAATTAACAATGATAACAATATAAGAACAATAAAGCGGCGAAACCATAAAAGGTCGACTTTTAATAAGACAGAATATTTAGTATTAGAATTAAAATGTAGATAATACAAATGCTACGTCATTATCATCAAAAATTCGAATTTCAGCAATAAAAGAATCTTAGAATTTAAACTTGTATCTAAATCTACTATATAAAAGACATTATAAATACCAATATTGTCCAGTCTATATGTATTTCAAACTCGGGCATTAAAGACAGCTCAAGCATGTTCTTATTTTATTATTAATATTATCATGTACTTGCTATTACGCCTGCTTATATGCACTTCGAATATGTTCCGAATTTTTTATTTTATGAATGTAATTATGTTACAAGAAATATTAGTAATAGTTATTATACAGTAATTGTAAAGTTTGTTGCGTTTTTATTTTGAAGAAAATACAATAAAAAGTTTTTGTCAATTTCGATAAGAAATATCACCACCGTTCTAAAATAAATCGCATGTTTCATATGAAACGTGCCTGGGTATTAATATCAATTTTTTTAATAATAAAATAACAGGCACTAATTTTGGTTTAACATAGTAAACTTGAACCTTAATTCCTTCATGAAAACATGGCATCAACAAAATGAAATCGTAACTTTGTATAGAAAGGTCTTAGTTTCAACGTTACGACAACTTGTCTAACAGACTAAATTTGCACAATCCTCAATGGCAAGATAATTGGTGTACGCTATTGAATCATTCAAGTATGGTTACACTATAAAGCCCCAGGATTCTCATACAACAACTACCATTTCTATTACTGGTGCATTCAGACCATTCTCAGCTTCTCGTTCCATTTACCACCCTTCTCAAAGACTTGCACACACCTACACCAACCATCAATTTAACATGTTCTCAATATCAAGAAGGTATGAGAGTCTCTCCTGGTCAGGAGATTTATTGTGATCTTCTGCTTGTTAAACAAATGAAATCGAGCAGAAGGTATTAAAACGGAAACAAAATTTGAGATTTTCCAAAAAGTATAATAATTTTAATATTCTATAAATTTTTTTGAAATAAAATGGGATTTTAAATTATTTTTTTTATACCATGTTTTAATAACAAATGATTATGATTGTATGGTAATGATTCACGTATTGTATTATATGTATTAAATGTTTATATGCTAGTAAGTAATTAATTATTTATATAAGTAGAATTTAAAGAATATCTTGATGGAACTTTAACGTTGAATTTTTCAACTAAACTTTTCCAACTTCAATTGGAAAAAAAAATATTATTAATATATAATTAATTAATAGTTAATATATTTTCCAGATAATAATATTATTATTTAATACTTACAGCCTAGTACAACTATATTCTTCATTATCTATTAAAAAGATAGTATATATATAAATAAGTAAATGTTACAATTAAACATATATATAAATTTACACACACACACATATATAGTAAATATAAATACCAAATGTCTGGTGAGGATCACAACTACATCTTCCTCTGAATTCTTCCTCGACTGGACAATGCATGAATGGATTATGTTTATATCCTATTTCATTAAAGTAGTGTATTTGATGCTTCTTTAAGAATAAAGCTGCTGCTATTGAATGAACTGGCGCATCACCCCATCTATACGAATACGTATGTGTATACTTATTATTATTATTATTATATTATTATTATGTGGTTACTAGCTACTTTGGGCGCCGTTACCAATTAATTAATCACACGATTACCAATTACCAATTAATTTATTATTTCAAACAAATAATTAATTGCTAACCTTTCATAAAAGAATCCACCTTTGTCATCCAAAAATTTAAAAAATTTACTATAAGCTTCACCTCTCCATAATCTCAAATCGGCTATTTCAAAGTTCGACCAGAAATGACATCTTTTAATTATTTAATTAAAATCATATATATATAATTAATTATTATATAAATTCCCCAAAAACTCGATAATATTGATATTTAAATCATACAAATTATAAGTTGCTCCTTCGTCATTTGATACGAAATCCATCCAATTATCTTCTTCAATGTATTCTGGGTACATTTCTATGAATTCCTTTACAGTACCCCACAGTGATTCTATTGTTCTTGGGTATTCATATAACGATATTGTAAATCCTAAAAATGAAAATCACAAAAGGTTGATATTTTATTTTTGCATAATTATAATAACTCAATCCAATAATCTGATTCACTATATATGCTTTTACACTTTTCACATTTACCATATTTAATATCATTGTCTTGCATATATAAGAATGGATCAAAATCTATATTACAATAGAAATCAACTCCAGGCTCGACCCTCCAATAATAATCATAATTTTTCAACAATTCATGTCTATAAAAGAATCCTGATTCAAATCTACAGATTGAAAATGGATTATATTATATATTTATATGCTATATATACGTATGAATGCTTATGTTACTATCACTTGTATGTTCACATACCTGCACATATGTCGATAATTTAGACTTCCGCCATAAATTACACGTTCTTCAGTCATTTGTTTCATCGCAGATTCCATAAGTTCTTTATCGATACTAGACGGTACACTCCAATGCTCCACTGGGATTAAACCTATTATTCATATATTCAATTAAAATCAAAATCAATAATCAACAAATAAAAATTACCACACATACACACATCTAAATGTACGAGTATCCATTTTTATTTATTTTATACATACCAAATTCACAATTTGCCTCGGTTAAACTTCTAGTTTGATTCATAAAGTCTTCGGTGAATGGTACGTCATTTAAGAATACGTATGGGTATTTATATTTACGATTAAACCGTTGTTCAAGTTGAACCATTGTGTATCTGAAACTTTTCAAATCGTCATTTCTTATTAATACAACAAATGCTGCCTTTGCTTTGCGAGGTGGAATTGTTTCTTGTTTTGTTGGTTCTTCTTTTTCAAAAGTATCTGTTTGTTTTATTTCTTCTTCTTGCACTTGAGTTGGTTGAATGGTGTTTTCAACAGTTACAGTACTGGTCGTAGTTAATATCTTTGTTTTAAATATAGATTTTGTTATAGTGCGTGCTCCAGTATTTATTTTATTATTTGTTACTTTTTCATTATTAATAATTGGGGAATCCTTGCCGGAATCAATATAATGATCTTCAGTTATTATACTCCAAGGATTTTTCACACTTGGATTGAAATACGTAAATAGAAAATGAAAACAGAATATTATTGCTAAAGCTATGAGTAAATATTTTGGAAAAGTTTTTTTAAACATTTTTAAACATTTAAATATTTGATCTTTTTTTTGAAATATGTAGTTTTTTTTTTTTTGATTGAGGCTTTGTACAAATTGTTGCTCTATGCGAATTTTGAAATTATGTGAAATCTATAATTAAATTGGCTAATTGAATTTCACGTATTGCAGATTCATAGATCTTCATAAAAAGCACCTCACCGATCATTATTTCCCTGTTAATCAAATGAAATTTATTTATTTTATTTGTAAGACATTAATTTTGAATAACCCTTGTTACACTAAATCTGGAAGATCCAAATCCTTCATAGAAAGTCATCATTGTTGCTGCTACCACCACCAGCTAGACATATTCTCCCACAATTAAAATGGTAGCAGAGAGGTCGGTAAGTCTCCCTTATGAATGGATAAGGTCTCTCTCCATAAGTGTTTTATGCAAAAAAATGTTCCTTATGTTACATGCAGCATTAACATCTTGATTCCAATGTGTCAGACAGACTGATTTGCAGGTTCTGACAGACCAGAATTTTTTGATGCTTATCAAACCACCCATCACACAAAGAACAGGCCGAGGAAGTACAGAGCTCATCAACATTCATCACCTTGCAATGTCTATATAGAAAGCTCTTGGCGAAATTCTTTTACAGGGCCCATATGATGTTGATGAGAATTTACCATCATCAAATGCAACAAATATACTGTCACCATTATCATTTGTTATTCTCTTGCACAGAATATCAAAGGCCTTCTGCTTATTAATAAAAGATTCTATCACGACCAATGCCAATGACAATGACATTCACCATAAAAATCAAGGATTATATCAAGGTAAAACAGAATGTAAGCAAGGTAAGAGCCATATTCATAGACATTAGTGACACCAGAGGTTGGAATTTCTAGGTTTGTATTATTCAATGATATTCTTGTTTAATAGCCTGAAGTTTTTTTTTCCCCAACCACACAACTCATGATTTTTATGAGTATGAACAAATCCTGCTAAGTTCCAGTACTCCTTGTTAGAACTTTTTCATCTGAACCCACTGCTACAAACAGATCTATTCTTCCAGGATCTAGTCCAAATACTTTGCATCCATTCAAATCAATATTTGATCCTTCTTCATCAACATCCTCTTTATTATCATCAACTTTCTTCTGCAGACCAACTGATACTGCAAGACCATTAGTTTGTATGGAGTAAGCAAAGATTCGATTTTGGCTGGTGACTTTATTAATATAAAATGTTTCCATCCACCAAGTTTCCATTTCAGCTCTGAATCTTTGAATAGTTGTTACTCTTACTTTTTCAATGATTTGTACATGCAATATAAAGTATCAGTGTCAAATAATATGTACTTTTGTTGGAAAGAGTATTCAGGCAGAAGTGTGATGAGACAAAGACCACATTCCTGGTTAATGCCTGGTAAAGGTGTGCAGGATTTTGTGAAGACCTGGAAGATATGCTACCAGGATGCTTTTACAGATACATCATCAAGAGCTTGATTTTGGAATAATGTCTGTTGCACTTTCAAGTGAATATATTGGATTGGGGTGTCTTACATTATATGATTTTACAAACATAGTTGATCACATATAAATTTTCATATATGACAATTTTTTGCCGATCTTTTTTTCAATAGTAAACTTTGAATGATTATAACTCTTTAAAGAATAGAGATACTGACTCCGAGTTAAGTTTAAAACATACTAGAGAAATAGGACAATAAAGTAATAGAGCCCTTTTTTTTATTTTAATATAAACAATGGCATTTATTTTAAGCTAGAAAATCAAAGTAAAAGTTGCGAATATATGTTACAAAATTTTATGCAAGTAAAATTGTAAAAAGCTCTCTATTAGTTTAAAGAGCATCAAAAAGTGAATCTAATGCATAAATTTTTATTTGAATATAACATATAGTTTAAGAGTTATTTTGAGTTTTGTAATTTTGCGAAGTTTGCAAATTTGTATAATAAATTTAAAAATTTTTTTGTGGCACCAAAAAAATAATAATAAATCCGCAAAACCCCTAAAAAATCCTTATTAATGAAAATTTATATACAACAATTTAAGTCATTCTTTCAACAGCACTTTGGACTGCAGGCTCAATATCTTTATCTTTAAGGAGTTTTTCTAGTCCAGTTTTTACTGTGCATCGTTCATATTTTGTGCCTTTTTCCTGAACAAGTTTGGATGCGACAAGGATATTCTAGGTATTTAAAAATATATTAAGTGCTATTCCTAAAAAATAGAGGCAGATGAATGATAAATATTTACTTGGTTTTTTCTGTTGTTTTTTGTTTATGTCCTCACTTGCTTTTCTTTTGGCTGTATTTTTAGAAGATTCCGCATATGGTATATAACTGTCTCTATATTAATATTTTTATGTTTTTTTTGTGAGAATCTCTACTTTGTCATCACTGGGAGCTTTTCGTTTGCTTGTATGTATATTAACATTGAAATGATGATGGATGATGTTTAAATTAAAACAGAATTGACAAAATTCTTTTTTTTTGAAAAGTTTGAAAAAAATAACATCATTTATTTACTTTTATAAGAAAGGTATCGTTTTATTATTAATTAATAGACAATTGGATTGATTATTGTTTATTAATTAAAGGTGCCGAAAAACATTTTTACTATTATTATCATTTGTCTTGTTTTTTTTGGATCGTGCCATTGATTTGTTTACTTTTAAGAAAAAGTATTATGTGTTTAGTTAATTAATTGACAATTGAATTGTTTATTACTAAGGGTGCTGAGAAACATTTTTACTATTATTATCATTTGTCTTGTTTTTTGGATCGTACCATTGATTAAGAAATCTATAATTAAAATTTTGGGGTGGGGTGTTTGGATATAAAATTCTGATTGGCTAATTTGAATTTCACGTACGTGAATTGCAAATTCGCATAAATTTCATTTTCACGCACAACATTACTAAAATCAGAATGCTGTGCGTTTAACTAATTGACAATTTAATTGATTATTCGTTTACTTTTAACAAAGCATTATGCATTTAATTAATTATTTGTTTATTACTAAAAATTCTAAAAAATGAAGCTTATTATATTTAATTAACACAAAAAAAGATTTAACATTTGCCGTGTCCCAAAACTCGCAAGTCATGCGACTTCCGTGCAGTTTTCTCGCCAATTGTCTCCTTTTGCGTCTAGCCACACCTGGTCTTTTCGGTATTTGGTGCGATCAACCTTTTTGCCATATTTAGCAAAAATTGTGTCGTACGGCAAATGTTTTGTTTTATAAAACAGGTTGCAATTGCATTGAAATTGAGTTGCATTGAATTGAATTGCAAAGCGATGCGTTGCAATTGCAATTGAAACTGAAAAATCTTTGTTTTTTAAACCTAATTTTTTTGGAAGGAATTTTTTGCTTTTGCTGTAAAGTCAAGCTAGAGTCGCGCTAGATTTTTTCTATATAATTATATGTAAAATATCATACTTATGCTTGAGTAGCACTAGAGTCGTGCTAGAGTCATGCTAAAAAATAAATTTCCTGACCATATCTTTGCAAAAATCTGAAGAGATCCATAAATATTTTTGACACTAATAGTAATATATGGGAAAAAATCAAAATATATATACATTTTAAGAATCTAAACCATGTGCGGTTAATCCAATTTTAGGGATCCCTGCATATAGTCGCACAAGACATCAACTGACCATATTTGCACAATGTAGATGTTCTATGAACTTAGTCAAATTAGTTTGATGACATTAAATCTAGATGTTGCAAAGTTAATAAGTAACAATATTTTCAGTTTACATGGGAATCTGGCACAAAAAAAACCCCCATTAAAAATGTTGATCGTCAACTATCAATGTAAAATAGTTGTGATGTATTATTCGATTCTGATGAAATTTTTGTTGTTAAAGTAGAAATTATAAATATGATTTAGTTAGCCAATTTTGCATCGTTATAAAGCGAAAATCGGTTTATGGTAGTTCGGTTTATCGAGATTTGACTGTAGATAGATTTATTCAAAATTTTGAATTAATAAAAAATTATGTGCGCGTTACAATTTGTAACACTGATCACTTTTATCATCTATGATATATATATATACTACTTTTGTAATGCACCAAGAAAAAATTCTCAATCATGCACTTATTTTTTATTTTTCCAATGCATATACGCATCACATCATAATCAATGCCTAATCAGGTGATTATGCAATATAGATACAAAATAAGATATACAGATTAACTATATTTAGTATCACAATATAAATAAGATCTCAATTGATTTGTGCTGTTTTCGTTTTCTTCATTTTCTTGGTAGGAGTGTGAATCATTCGTGTCATCATCTTAATAGCTTCAACTCCACCACCACTGGCCCACAAAAAATCTCGTATAGTTCTTAAGCCTTCAGATAATAGGCGCTAATTTAAAAGAATTTAAAAATGTTAATTTTGTGTTCTCTGTATTCAGTTTTTTCTGAATCCATTTATACAAACCTTATACTTCAACAAGCCCATTATAGCTTCATCAGCTTTTGCCATATCTGCCCATGTTTTAGGTAGGGGAAATGTCAAGATCGCTTCTGTAGTGTAAATCTTGGTATATTTTAGCTGGAATTCATATATAGTCAACTCATTTACTATAAAACACAGAGTTAGTAGTGCATGATAACAATACACAGGTAAACTCGATAAGTCGGACACTCGATAAGTCGGATTTGGCCTAACTCGGACAAAAATTTCCAGCCCTTT